AAACCCAAACGCTAGCGTAATTTTCTTCTTGTACACATATAACCTTAATGTATGAACGTACATATTTTAAGACACAATTCATTTTGAGTTAGTGATGCACGTAACACACTACCCAAAAGAAAGCAATAAATTAAACTTAGTAGAAAATAATTTATTATGTGTTGAATTTAAACAAAGTCAATGCAATTTAAAATTTTCGAGTTAATCATAAAAAACCTAAAACGTAAAAAACTATCTTTTTTAGTTAAAATGTTTTGCTATAAGTTAAACCTGTCGTACATGTCACAGCGTTAAATTAAGCTCTATTTCTTATAGTTTTAAGGCTTATATAATTCACAGTGTTGAAATTTAATGTATTCAACTCGGTATGTTGATCAATCATCTGTTACGGTTGCCAGATATAGGGCTACCAACAATATGAAGAAGTCGAGAAATTCCAAAGATTTTTTATTCGTAAGTTATTTGCTCTTCCTAACCCTACCCCAAACTACATGATTTATTTAGAAACGTCCACTGACCTGATTTACGTATATACCTTAAAACTTCACTTTTTCATTTATTTTCAAAATTTTGACTTCCCCTTACATAAAATTGGCAAAAATAACTGCGGTCGAAGTCATTAGGAATAAGACCGCCTAGTATGCCCAATGGCTTACTCTCTTTCAAGCGAGTCCCACCTACCAAAACCTTGCTGATTAGCCTGCTCTTTTTTTGGATCTGCTATTTAGATTCAAGGAACGGCATAGGGACGATTGCTTACTCCGAGCTCAGTCCTCGCTTAACTTTTCCTTATTCAAAGACTTGTCCCACATCTTATTTAATCTACAGAGAGAGAACCTTAATTCCCTAATCCTTTCAAACTTAAGATGGCTATTAAAAACCCGTTGCGAGGCCCTTAACTTGAATTCTGCACTTTGGCTGAGGGGCAAGGAGGGGTTATGTGTCCTTTGCAATTCTCAATCTGTGGAAACAACACTGCATTTTATGGCCGAATGTACAATATTAGGCGAGATCAGGTTGTTGCACTTGGCATCTTTTACCCTCTCTAGAAGCACTGTTAAATCTGTTGGATGGCCCAGATCCACGGGCGCTCACGCAGTACGTCCGCCACGCCTGGTGATATAGATTAGACCTAATTATGGAATTCAATTTCTGACCCCTCCAATTCATTCTCTCAATTTCCTTTATATATTATATGATTTTATTATATCCGATTGTTTGTCCCTTTGCCATTAAGCCTTTTCCCCTCTGTTTGTTTTCTATTATAAGTAGTTTTACTATTATGTTTAACCTTTTTTGAGAGTGTGCTAGCATATAGCGAATAATGTTATAACCTCGCTTTAATTCTTATATCTTTATGTTATTTCTTCACTGTTATTTTTTCTTTTATTCTTTTTCTCTTAACAACGTCCTCCGGCAGACAGATTGTGATCCGTGCATGTGCTATGCTTCGCTAATAATCATTGTTATATTCTTAGAAATAAAAAGCATAAATAATTCACGATGTCATCTACCTAATAGATCGCATACAGTGTAATTAAAGATTATTGCTTATAGTCAAAAAATAAACCCTTACGTAAGCATGGAAGAGGGTCAAAATTTTTATTGTTCAAGTTTTTATAACCTATAATACTACATCAACTATACCAATTAAAGGAGGAAAAGTAGGTTAAGATTGAAAGGGTTTCCAAAATTAACACTTTTGTCTACATGGGGATAGTGAAAATTCTAGAAAAAAGACATCCTTTTACTTAAAACCTATTTGATATAAATTGTATTTGTCGTAAATGTCCCAGCGTAAAATTATTTTTTACAATAAAGCTTTATTGCTTATAATTTTATAACCTTTATATACATGACATCAACAATAAAAATTAAAGAAGGGGAAAGTAGGTTAAGATTGAAAGGATCTCAAAAATTAACCTTTTGTATGCATAGAGAGGGTGAAAATCTTAAAGCAAAAGTTGAAAAATTGAGAATAAGGGCAGAATATCTTCCCACCCGCCCCCGGCTCAGTTGAAAAATTTACAAATGCTTATATTTATAAGGGTTACGTTACCATAAGAAATTCTCCCAAGCACGGCTCGGGGTCCGCGACATCATAGTAATAGAGACGGGAAGGCGGCTCTTGAAAAATTAACATAACATGCAAAGGAGGTTGGCTCCTTACCTGTTTTGCAATATTAACGCCACTGCTAAGGGACTGCCGAGATGATACGGACTAAAGGATAAACAAGGGCTCAAATATTGATGGCGACCCCCCGAGGCATCCGCCCTCATCCGCTTCTTCATCCGACGCCCTTTCGCATAACCCATCAATCATCCACGATAAAGGCTTCTCATTCAAGGACGTCTTGTCGAAAATTCAAGAAAGCTTTGTGACAGCCGAGGATGTTTCGAGGGGTAAGAATTCCTTTAAAAGTGCGTTTTATACAAACAAAATCAGTTTCGTAATGCCTTTCTCCAAAAATGCTTTGCTCTTTTCTTATTTTGTTACTGATGTTATTCTTGCATCAACGATTTTTTCAAATACAGAATTTTCGACTGTTCGGAAGTATAGAAACTTTTGCCGTTGCAAGGAAATAAGATGCAGATGCAGAACATTTATACAAGAATGCATCATCTAGTAGTCTTCTTTCCCATTAAATACCTGAATTTATTTTATACTTATTTTTTGGCACGTTTTTGAGTAACCCGAGACGCATTATTTCAAAAAAATTGCTAAAGGTCGAAGAAAAACGGCGCGTGGTGACGACAGGGTATAAGCTGGGAGAGGCACGACGCCCTCTGCCATTTGCGCGTATTTGCCTGTGTCAAACGTACACGATATGCTGTAGCGTTTGCTTTAAACAACTTCCAAACATAAAACAATGGTAATTTCTAATTAAAATCAAATAGACCACTGGGTTCAAAGGGTTGCTCGTATTTTTAAATATTATTTTCCCTAGTTGTTTCGGTTCCGAATCCAAAAAAATTCCTAATACCAAAATTTCTTCTTCACACAAAATGTCCTCTTATCGACAACAAATGGCTGATGTTAGACCCTCTTCCATTTCCGCGAATCTGCCAAATTTACATCAAATTACACCATTTTGTCTTGTTTCGTTGTCCTTACTACTGCCAAACATAAAAATATCGTAATTTCTGATTAGTATGAAATCAACAACTGGATTGATTTTTTTTTTTTTTTTTTAATAAAATATTTTCCCCTGAGATTTTTTGGTTCTGCGACTAAAAGTCATTGCATCCATGTATATAATGTGCCTTCCAAAACAAGGCACTCTCCCATTTTCGTATATTTTATTTTATGTGCTATAGCATTGAACTTAATATTTAACATATGAACTACTTCCAAACATAAAATTTGGGTAATTTTTGTTATGTCAAATCGACTGCTGGACGAAAAAAGTTATTTATTATTTTGTTAAATATATACTAACATATTATTTGTCTGAGTTGTTTCTACTCCGAACAAAAAAAAAACTCCTCCCATTCGTCTATAATGATATGCAAAGCCATTTCGTTTTTATTTATGGTATGTAGAGGTAGTTTATGAAGTAAATGACTGACGTCGGGGTTATAAGCAGGGAAAGGCAAGGCTCTTTTCCATTTCCGCATATTTTACACGATTTATTATAGAGATGACTTTAACACGTGAACTTCTTCCAAACATAAAAATTACGTAATTTTTTATTCATATCAAATTAACATCAAGATTGAAAGGGCTATTTATTATTTTGGGAAATATAAGCTACAATATTATTTTCCTGAGTTGTTTCGGGTCCGAGAGAGAAAAAAAACTTTTAGCATGCATCTGTAAAATATTATCAATTTCTAAATTCCGAAAATATGTTCCTCTGTTCGAAGGCAAATGACTGAGGCCGGGTTAATAAGTAAGTAGAGGCAATTCACTTTTCCATTTCCGCTTATCTTGCCAGTTTCTCAAATTTACACAATTTTCTTTAGCGTTGTCCTTACTCTTCCAAACATAATAATTAACCTGACATCTGACTTAAAGGCGTTATTTATTATTTCTTTAAATAAAATATTATTTGCCCAGCAAGGAGAAGTAAGACGTTTACACTATTTCCATATATCTTTTTCATGTCAAGCTTAAAACAATATGCAAAGCCATTTAGTTTTTTGATTAATTAACGGTTTAGACTTTATAAATAATGATAGTCATTATATAACGAATAAATTGGAAAAAAGGTTAATACCCTATTGATTTTGTTTTGAAAAGCCATTTTGGAAAATAACGTAGTTTTCCTTTCTTCTTACAGAGTGCAATCTTTCAAAAATAGATAAAACGTACATTCCTCTGTCTGTAAGTATAATACCACCTTTGCTTTTTTCCCGTTTGTCTAGCATTTACGTACCAAAACTTAATTAGAAGTAAAATGTAAAAATTTCCACCAAATAGAACACGCAAAGGGTACTAGGTTTAGGTTTACTTATACTTGGACTGATTACTACTTAACTATTACCATACTTAAATTTACTTTATTATAAGGTCAATTTTTATTGTACAATTTATGTACATGAAAGCAATGAATTGTAAACTTAACTCAGAGGAAGGGTCCCTTTATAAAAAGCTATCCAGAGCGACCAACAAAACCCGACGGAGCGATCGTAAAAGGACAGAAGAGCTTTTCTGTTTTTCCTTACTTTTACGGAAGCACTTTCCTCGTTTATGCCACCGTCCTTTGTGGACGAAATGGGCAGTACGAATAAAGAAGACTGTCTTTAAAGGAATATTCAGCGCCCGGATTAATTCGGATTTTGAACAATGAACCAATTGATAAAAAATTTTGTAAACAACAAAACATTTTTTCAAAAATCTCGATTTTTTTACAACGTATTAAAAGGGTCTGTAAAACAGCCACGGAATGGTAATTTGCAATCCAAGACGGACGTAATTATCACGAGATGGCTTAGCCCTTTGTTAACAACAATGTCAAGAAATGGGGACGGTTTAATTATCTTATTGTTGGACTTACCGCTGCGATTTCGGCCTTGGTGTGTCATTTTCACTCGCGCGTGCTGGTTTCAAACAGCACTGAAAAAAATCGAAAACGCCTTAATTACAGATTACTGAAATAATTGAAATCTTAAGAAGTAACAGGGAAAATAATTAAAATTCGCCATGCGATATTGCTATAACACAGTCTTCTCGTATTTTTGAATAAAAATCCTTTAGCTTTGAATTATAACAGAACATAATGTAATCATAAAACGGAACAATTAAAAGAAAAACGTATATGACCAGACAATACATGAGCTCATTAAAGGATAAAGCTAAATTATTAGTGTGTGGTGATTATTCGGAAATCCTGAGATGTAGGTCTGTGTGATGTAGGGTTCGGAAAAACATTTTCTTTATCGTGCCAACGTTTCGATATTTATTGAGATCATCTTCAGGGCCTGGGGTTAATAAACCTTGTTGAAATTTTACAAATACATGTAGGAAAAATCCACATGTATTTGTACAATTTTGTACGATTTCACATCCTAATTTAAAAAGTTAACAAAACAGCCTACAAGTATTACCAAATACTCTAAGGCTTTAAGTACACGTTCAATTCAAAAACTACTACACAATTATAGGATTGTCAAAAAATACCTGAAAAAAGTCAACTAAGGAAAGGTTTTAACATTTTATTCATCGATCAGTACGTGGCTAGATATGGTTAAATTGGGTTAAGCGTCCCCGAAAACGTCCCATCAGGAAAAGATGAATTATGGCTAATACACAATGTAAAGTAGAAGGAAGAAAATTATAATCCCTCAAGTGAGTTCCATAACCACATAACAACCAAAAATATTACGCCTTAACACTTTAATATAGTTATAAATTGATAATAAAGAATGTATGCATTTCTTCTGTAAGCAGATTATAAAAAACGTATTTATTTATTATTATTTTATTACGTTTGTAAGCATCATCTTGTTTATATAATCCATTATTTGATTAAGTACCCAAACGACATGCTTTCATAATTTATAATTTTGTATTCAAAAAAGTCGTGAATGCTGAAAAGCTCCAGGCAGAAGAAATCAGCAGGAATAGGGGGACCAGAACATCGTAAACGACAAAACTATAACGAAATAAGTGTCAATTTCTCAGCTGGAGAGGCATAAAAGTTTTTAACTTCGCGCGAATTCGTACCATCTGTAAATACGTTAAAAGTTGAAACGCTAAGTAATAACAAGCATATTTTTAAATTAGAGCATAATAAAAAGGCACAAAGTTGAAATAACTTTATAAATTCATGAACCGAAACGGTAGAATTACGACTCGGTTTTAACATCGTCAAACTGATTGTCATTAGGCTGGTGAAAACGCAAAATTCATTTTCGCAATCCGAATAAATTTTAATTGCTTTCGTCGGATTATCCCTCTAAATGTAATCCCGTGGATTAGCCCGTTGAAATTTCCCTTGGTGATACTTTTTCCGTTTCAACTATGATGCCTTGTTGCCAATTTGTTCCCATGGTCTGGTCCGCTTGTCTTAGGCAAATTTCATATTTACGGAAACTTTATAAAACAACATAAAAATATTCAGCTACGAAGCTTTAAAAACGTCTAAGAAAACCTTGAAGAAGTGAACAAAACAGGATTTCCCATTTTAATTTCGTTATAATGATCCATTTCGTAATTAATTCAGAGTATAATCATGGCATTGCAATTCCATTCATCGGCGATCATTGTAAATAAGAAATAAACGTCCAGCAAACCACTTAACACAATGATTTCAACTGCATTTGTATTGTTTGGTGTAGAATCGTTTAGAACGTATGAGCAAATTTTTCGATGAACAGAAATATGTAAAAAATGTAGAATAGCTCAGTTTATTTATAAAGAAAAATATATTTAATATTTTTTCTAGCCAATTTTGGTAATGTTTACAAAACTGATAGAAAATCTACACAGAAAAAAATTATTTGTATTTTTTTTAAGGATCGTAGTCAAATGCGTGATATTGTGTATTCATGTTTATAAACATATTTGAAGGCAATTATCATTAAAGCTAAATGGGCAAAGATGGCGGGGGAGATGGAAATTTTTCAAATCTCTAAAGGCTTTCCCGGATAAGCCATTAATCTAAAAATCCGTCGTTTTCCCTTTTCCGCCAGCGGCGGATATGCTAAACAGCCATACAGAGTGGCGCTGGGACAATAAAACTGATGTATTTATACTTTTTAATCTCTGCCGTCGGTTTGGACAGAGCGAGGACGTCTCTTTCAATGGGTTAAATTATTTGGAGCTATGCCACAGGGTGCACGTATGGAATCCGGCGTTTGTGGAATTTCGCCTCATCCCGCTGCATTCCTCTCTCTCGCCTGGGGCTGCTAATTTTATACTCGGTTTTCCCATATCTGATAACCTCCTGGTACATCGTAAAGGTCAAGGTTGGTAGGTTTTCGAACTCGGACACTCAATAACCTGGGATAACAAGAAGACCCAGGGTAAAGCATACCAGCAATGACAGTCGATGAGCTAATAACTTTTAAAAGAAGGATCTGGACTAAAGAACTAGGAAAAGAACGAATAAGATAGAAGGCTGACGTGCTTGAGGAATTCGAAATCCGCGCTTCCTTGTCTTCCTTCATCATCATCGTCATCCATTCTTGTAAACCAAAAATCATAATAGACTAACAAAACAACATTAATTTGGTCGTTACGGAAAAAAACCGCAATTCAAACGGCTAGACAGCTAGGAAAATTTGTGATATGAATGGTGAGAAGGTTTAGTGGAAAGTAAGTGCTTTGCTCTGTCCAGAAGCGAAAATTTGAATTTGAAATATGCAAAGCGCTCTAGTCATCATTCAACCGTTGATGATGACTAAATCCAAGTTTTATCAAAAAGAACCCACACTACACGGCAAGAGACATCGCAGAGGCACATAACACATTTCATACAAGCGTTTTAATGGATCTGAAGAGGAGCCGGATAAGGTTTCTTCACAAGCTGACTTGGACATCTATCTGCGATTTCCTCCTAACGCAATATAAACGACCCATTTTTAAAATGATTGATAACTGTGGATATACAGCAAGGAAAATCCTGGGAAAAACGCAGCGAACCACTGTTAGTAATTCCAAAAGCCGGATTACATCCCAAGAAGGTAATGTGAAGGTGGGAGGGAAGAAGGTTCTTTCTTATAAGTTTCTTCTGTCCGACCAATCTGTTATTCTAGTTTATATTACACACAATTGGAACGATTAAAATCAAAAATTAACGAAAAACGACTGGCTAATCTCAAGGATTGTTTCCGAGAATAATAACACTCGCCCCCACGTGTCTTTGCAGACGCACACGGACATTGTTGGATCTTGGTTACGATGTGCTACGCCACCCAACGTATTCGGCTGATATTGTCTCTTCAGATTTTCACTTAGTTTGAACTCTGAGAAACCGTATTAATGGTAAAAACTTTACTTTACTTACGGAATTCAGAAAACATATTAACGAGTTCGTCGCTCAAAAAATTGAGAAATTGTGGGAGGAGGGAATTTCAAAATTACATTGAAGATTGCAATAGGTAGTGGCCCAAAATAGTTTATAATTGTTGATTTAATTTGTTAAGCACCTCAAATTTTTATTAAATTTACAAACAAATTTATTTTATGACACTCTAACAGTTCAATTTTTTTTAAAAATATTTTTATTAATTTCCTTATAATGGTACCTTGGACGAATTAACACACAAGTTCGTACAGATAACTCGGACCAGAAATTTTTCTAAAAATAAAACTTAAAGTTCAAAAGTTCAAATGGACGCTCGAGAGTCTAGACAATAAAGCCATCAACTTGGTTTTAGTCGGATTTTCTACAAAAATATATTTTTTACATAAACTGCATGTTTATTAAAAGTCCTATGCAATTTAACAACAATTTATTGAAGAATAATATCTGCCTAAATTTCGGAAATTGCGATTAACACCCAACGAAAATGGGCCACAAATAATATTTCATTTTTAAATATTAATTATTTTCTTTGAATTTATTGTTAGAATATTGACGGAGAAATTTCTTTATGAGTGAACAAAATATATTTTTATTGGGTTGTCCGGAAAATAATGCAGGATTTTGGTATTAAACAAAAAAAAAGAAACTAGTTACTTTAAAGCAATGTTCTTTAATCAAAANATCCTGTAAACGTAAACAGAATATTTTATATAGATTTTTTTTAATGAAAACTTAAAATCCTGCATTATTTTCCGGACAACCCAATAATAAATTAAGACGAGTCACTGGTTTCCTATTTGGCCTTTGATCAGTCTAATTTAATTTTCTTTGTCTCAAAATGAAAATAGGTACTTTTAAGCCTATTTGTGTTTTGATGTATTGGAACACGAGATAAGGAGCCCCTCTACGCCATAGTTAAAAAAATTATAAAGATGAAGCATTGCACATTTTAATAACAGGATTTCGGAAAAATAAAAAAATTATGTTATTAAAAAATCGTATCTATATGAATAAAATTGCCTAGAAAAGTAGTTAAAAGTACTTTGCTTTTGAATAGAAAAATAGATAAAAGTACTTTGCTTTTTGATAAAGTTTGTTTGGTGAAAAACCCTAGCGAAATCCTGAGGGTGTTTGGTCATGGGGACAATTTGGATTTTTGGTTTTCTTTTTTTTGGTAAATTTTGCATCCCTTGAAAGTACAAAATCGCATGCAAAGTCGTGTTGTGTACAAAGCGGCGCTTTCTATTGGTGATCCCAGGGACTTGCTCAACATCCAAACTAGCACTACTTTTCCCTCGGACGGCCAATCTAAATTCCAACTCTCGGCTAACTGAGTTTTGGCCAGTTAGGTCCCTAGGACGGTTTTATCGAATTTAAAACTAAAATTGGCCCCCTCTCCCCCCCATCGCCATTAAACAGTTCCATACTTCTTATTTAAAAGAAAGGGCAGAAACAAATATTTAACAACCGGGGATGAAAAAGTTTTAATTGCCCGAACGGGGTTATCAGCACTGGAAACGTGCTCGGAGGTGAAGGTAGTAACAGTATTTATGTAGAAAAACTTCAAATTTAATCGTAAAACTAA